TGCGTGGGGTAACAATGCGTAGGGCGACAAGGTGCAACAAGGCGTAGGGCAATAATGCGTACGCCGAGAAGGCGCAGGGCGACAATGCGTCGGGGATCAATGCGTGGGGCGACAATGCGTAGGGGCAACAATGCGTATGAACAATGCGTAGGAAGACAATGCGTTTTTGTAGGAAAACAGCACCCTAGAAAGCGTAGGGCGACAATGCGTAGAGCAACGATGCGTAGGAACAATGCGTAGGAAAACAATGCGTAGGGCGACAATGCGTAAGATAACAATGTGTAGGGTAACAATGCGTAGGGCAACATTGCGTAGGCCGATAAGGCGTGGGGCGACAATGCGTAGGGTAACGATGTGTAGGGCGATAATGTGTACGGCAACGGTACAATGTACAACGCGTATACGACCAGACGGGTGAACTATACAATGCGTGTACGGCTAGGCGGTGGAAGGACGCTGATCTTTAAGCCGGTATCACGTATGGTAACCGTCAGTGGAGTAGGATTCTTTGCGTAAACGGACAAGGACCGTTTAACGACTGCAGAATGTTATTTTAGCAACAGCGAACCTACCTTGAGACGACCTCTGAATGACGGCAAAATTACCAGTGTTCGGTTAACCATATGCCGATCAACGTACACGAAACGCCCCATGCTCTCGACCGTTAACAGCTAGCTCGTAGACAACTGCATTAACCAATTGACAAGCGACATATACAAGATGCGCCTTCCGTTTGTCACACGGTCAACAGCCGTGTTTTGACTGACCAACTGCAAAGACCGCAATGATCCGGCAGGTACTGATACATCGAACTCAACGGTGTACAAATCCGTGCAGAACAATTGCAACCATGCGGCAACGGCTGCAACCAGCAAACAAGGAACTGTCCGTATTAGGTTCCACCTACGTATCCATCTCCGACCGTACATTGCGTCATCACTTAGCATTCATTGGCAATTTTCAGCCTTTTTGTGGCTATTTCCACCTCTCTTCTAGTTCCCTCCATTCCTCCTACCTCCGTCTTTCTCTCTCTTTCTGTCTCTCCCGACACTCCCTCCCCCACTCTCTCTTTCGCCCCTACCTCCGTACGGCATATCCTTGTCATGCTTCAGCATACCGCCGTTCATCACATCCGGTTAATTGCCACTACGCTGTTGCACTCCTCTTTTTCTCCTCCTCCTGAACGCCGTAACCCAAGTTGTCGCCCCCCACACCAACGCGCTCTACTGTTTGTGGCTATTCCCTATCCTTCTTTTCCACCTCTCTTCTGGTACGTCTCTCTCTCTCTCCCATCAGTCCCTCCCCCACTTCCTGTCTCGCCTCTACCTCCCTACGGCATATTCCCGCGCTTGGTATGTTATGCCGGCGGACCACAACGCTTCCGACCTGCCCAGGTGCGTTAGATACCTTGCGACCTGTGGGCACATGGTTGAACGGGGAGGGAGGCGTTGTACAGTGGCATATGGAGCAGTGTGTAGTTGCATGGTTGCATGGTTGCATGGTTGCATGTTTGCATGGTTGCATGTTTGCATGTTTGCATGGTTGCATGGTTGCGTGGTTGCATGGTTGCATGGTTGCATGGTTGCATGGTTGCATGGTTGCATGGTTGCATGGTTGCATGGTTGCATGGTTGCATGGTTGCATGGTTGCGTGGTTGCATGGTTGCATGGTTGCATGGTTGCATGGTTGCATAGTTGCACATGGAATAATGTATGCGATGCAACATGCCTTTGCTAATCGCCTTGCCGTGTTAATCTCCCTGCCGCTCCGTGTAACCATATGTTACGCACCCTATCCCCTTCCTTTCACCTGTCTATAAATTGGGTTTCGCTCCGACCCTTATGCCTTAGACTCTTACCTCTATCTGCTCCTACTTCCGTCACTATTGTTAGCGACCCACTCTCCCTCCGTATGTTTCCCACTCCTATATTATTTCCTATCAAATATTAACAAAATGTCTGCACATTACCTACTAGGATTAACTAATATCGATATCCTTTGCCGACGATGTACGACACTTACCCGTTAAACGGGCATGTGTGCACGAGCTTGCCCTGCTGCTGCACGTTAGGCGCGTTGTGACCTGTGGAAACATGGATGGTAGGGCCATGGCAGGTACGACATTGAATGTGCAATGCAGGTCATGGCGGGTACGACAAAATTCATGGACGAATACGCTGCGTATTTGCATTGGCACTCCATGTTAATTCTGCTGCGATCCCCTGCCGTAATCCGCACAAATCAGCGGTGTTGCCCGAAATGACATTTACAATGCGTCATCTACCTGCCGCCCCATGTAACCGATTCCTGCATTACATGTATCCTATGACCATCTACCTCTTATGAGCAAACCTCCTTTACTCCTAACCAGACTTACCCAGACTTCCCGGTGCCCGGTTGGTGCACGGCAGCACCCTCCAGGCCAGCTCGTGCTTCCTTCGCCTCTTGTCGCTTGTAGAGCTCGTACCGAAACATGGCCGGCGTGTGGCAAGACGCGCGGTGAGCCTCCTCGGCGTCCTTTTCCGCTGCCGCATTATCAACGGGCGGCAACCGGTTAAGGCGCGTGTCAAACTCGTTCTTAATGGCACCGGACGGCGTGGCCTGCAGCTTATTCTTCGACCACTCGCTGATGAGTTCGTCTGCGTACTGGAACCGGCTGAGACGTTCCGGGTCCGACGGGAGCAGCCAATTCTGGCCGGGCGACTTCGCCTCGAAAAGCTGCTTCGGGAATCGCCTCAGGGATCGACCGCCAACCTTGGCCCATGCGGCCAGAAGGCGGGGAATCGAGACGAGCACCATTCCGGTGTAGCCCGCTGCACTGGGGGAGTCGATGTCGTTGTTGTAGGCCGCATCGGAGTCGCTGGGCGCGCCGTCCATGGGAAGATGCAGCAGCGCGTTAGTGTTGAAACGCATGCAGTCCAGGCACGTTTGGCCTGCGTGCCTGTGGAAGCTGGACTGCAGGTCAAAGATCCGCTTGGTGATGTCGCTGGTTTGCGAACAGCTGTCGCACATGCATAGCACGGGCACTGCAAAACCCGACTTCCCCCACTGCTTGTAGCCGCACAGCACGATGCCGACTCGGGGCCTGGTGCCCATCTTGTCTACGTGATTCAGGACGAGCGTTCCTGGTGGCAGCATGCCGCCGATGACGGCAGCTGTCAGGCGCCCCATGTCGGGGGGGCCCCATGACGTACGGTACGGCAGCTGAGTTGGCAAGTCGCTCAGTAAGCGCCTAATGCGCTCGAACGTCACCGACTGGTGGTACCTGTTGACGGCTGGCATGTCACTCGACCCCATCTTAATAACAAGACTCGGCAATGAAGATATGTTGCTGTACGCAGAGGTGCGCTCCTGCTGTGTAGCGTTAGGGAAGAGCGTGGCGTTAGCTTCAAATGCTGCAGCCACGTGGCTGCCCCATGCGACTATCTCAGGTTCGTGTATGGGTATCTGCCTGACAGCCGGCTGCTTCTGGGACCCTCCTATGACTCTCTCACTGGATGGCGCAGCTGCTGTAGAGGGCCCAGCCCCAGCCCCTTCTTCGATTGGCTGACCAGAACCAGAATCTACAGTCTCGTGCTCCTGGGCACGTGACAACCGTTTTCGACCACGACCACCTGCGCATCGGCCACTTGCATGACCGACACGCCTGCCGCTGACCGCACCCCCACCGCGAAAACCTTGGCCTCGGTTGTCGAAATCGACATCCAACTCGCTGCCACCCGCTGCGACGCCTCCGCCGATTGCTGGCGGCGGTGGTGCAGTCGTCGCTGCTCCCGGCCGCAATGCTTCGTTCGATAGTTCTTCCAGCAGCAGATTGTAGCGTCCACCTTCCAGGAGAGCAGCGCGGATCCCAGCCGCTCTCTGGAGAAGAGAACGCTCCACCGCAGGAGTCATGGCTGGCCTAGGAGGCTGATCCTCCATCTCCGCCGCAATGGTACGCGGGTTGACGTCAAATACAAACTGGAACTCCTCCATGTTGACAGTGCTGCCGATAAACCTGTCCAAGTCCTGTTTCCGAGCCCAAGCGCCGACGTCCATTAAGAACTGCTTGTCGTCTGCAATCTCAATACCGTGCGAAAGCAGCGCATACTGGTCCGCTGGGAAAGGCTGAGACTCTAGCGCAGCGTTAAATTTATCTGCCGCGCTGGATGATGGTTCTGCGCTGCACGGCTGCTGGCGTAGAGGTACGATCCAATCCAACTCGTACTGCCACCGTGTGCTGGTGTCCGGGGAGTGAAAACGTACGAATGCCACGTCCTCTGGTGCGTTTATCGATAGACCCTCTGCCGATATACATGAGAAGCGAGCCGCGAGATGCCACACGCTGCGTTGAAGGTCTCCGTCAACCGAAACGCATGGAACGCGGCTTCCTCCCACGAGAACGCAAGGCTTGGCTGAGAAATGGAAGAGGTTCCAGCTGTCGCCAGATTCCTCGATTGGCGTGGAGTACTTGTTGTCGTTCAACAACTGGGGCACGAAGGAATTAGGCAGAGGACATGCAGTTAATGGTAGCGAGCAGGCAAGGACAATTCGCCCAATCGTGAACAAAACGTATCTTCTCCGACGTGCATCCCGCGAAACATGCAAATCTTGCGCTATGCTACTTTGTAACCAATACTCTGCTCGCTGACTCTCGATTGCCGTAATGAACACTCACCACGCTGCTGCCGATCTCATGCACCACTACTTCCTGCTCGTGTATCCACAACCGTTTTGAAAATGCTTGCGTTAATTTCTGGAATTCGGCTTCTGTCAGATATATTGGTTCCATCGCGCTAGATGCGTCAATTTCGGGACCACCTAATGGACGGCTATTACGCACAAAGATTGTCAATTAAGTACATGCTACTTGTGCTTGTAGGCGTGCGTTCTGACCTCGCGAGGCATCAGTTTCCCGTCGTGACATGGGGTCGTACATCACCAGGGTTCTCGTACAGTTATCCTTGTGCGGTCACGCTTTGTAATGGTGTGCTCACATCTCTCACCTTCTGTTAATACAACTCAACGCCTACTACTTTGCTTTCGTCGTGGCGTAAATTTGAAACGTCCCATTTTACGTTCCCTTTTCATGTGCCTTTCTTTCTTTTCTGCATAACTACATAATCATGGCTGCTCGCATTCAACGTAGTCTCGTGCTCGCTCCAACCATAATTCAGCAAGGTCCATTAATTGCGGCTATGCGGAGGATGGGCGTGGACTTCGGAACTTGCAAGCCGTTCCCACGACTTGAAGGTATCAACATTACATTATCTAATGTAAACACGTTTATTGATGTACTGACGGCTTAATCTATGCAGGGAGCGCCATCACCCTGGATCGCTTGAACAATGCCCTTCCGCCATCTACACGACTTGGGATCGTCGTCTATGATGATATCCAAACGGCTACCATCCTCTATCGAAATACTCAGCATGGCGGCCCTGGTAGCGTTGGAAAATGGTCGGCCTACAAGGTTGCAGACAACGGCCTTGTATCTGTCGATGTTGCTTCAGCACTCCTGCCGGAACGCTTCTTCAGCCAAGTTGTTGTGACCATGAAAACCGCCGCCGGTGACAGCGTCGATCCGGCATCCGTGGAGGAGATGCTGGCTCGCTTGGCCAATCGCTTGCCTTCCAGGTGCCATGTTCAGCCTGGATGGGCGCACCAACCTTGTCTGGAACTCCAGCTTGCGCTTGCCCGAGCAAGCCAAGACGTTTGTGTACGCTCGCATTGTAAGTGATGTTAAGGCTGATAGTTCAGCAGCGAAGATGCCACTCAAATGCTTCCAACTGCCACATCCTTACCGAGAAATATTGAGTGCTACGCACATGCCATGACCACTCGATGGTGTCGCTTCCTTTACACATGTCGTTACGTAACCATGGGCACCGTGCACGACCGCTGCCAACCAGCAGCACGCTCTGTTTGTCCGATTCACCCCGACCATGTGTACTGCATCTGGATGTACGGCAACGTAGTACGGCATGAATTTCGACACGCTCTCCATCCCCCTACATGTTCCCCACCCTCCTCGCTACCACCTCGTTCCTCCAACACCTCTGAGGCCGTCGTGCCGCCTATTCACGCATGTCTCCTTGTGCTGCAGGACGACCTGGGTCGGCAGGCGTTCTACGTTGCCGGCACTTCCCTGTTCGGTGACGTCCGCGTGCTGTCCGTCCCCCAAGAGGACATCGAACCCCTTGTCAGCATCAGACGTGGCGGTGGCTTCACGCGGTGGCTTCCCGGCCTCGCTATTGTTGACACATCCGCAAGTACCGCAGTCATGCCCCACGTTGCTGACGTCGCCAACCTCGCCAGCGCTGTATCGCAGTCCCGCCACGCTTTCGTGCCTACCATTAACGTCCGGTATCGCGTAATGCCAAACGCCGATACCTACTACCGAATGGTCTGTGAACGGGTATCTTCTGAACCGACCAAGTCGCTACCGCGGGGCATTCCCGTTCCTTCTATGGATCCGCAAACCAGGTAAGCTCGTTAACGTGAGAAACTGCAACGGGTCGTAATGATTGTTTCGAAAACGGCAGCGTTCTGGGGTACAGAAACAACTTGAAACCAACTCGTTAGACACACGCCTGCATTCATGTATGCTCAGCGACTCACCCCTGTACGACACTCACCTGTACGCATGCAACTCCTGTTCCATTGTGCACTTCATCACTGTATGCAGTTCGTGTCCGTTTACACGCATGCCCTTCCATTTTACCTTGATGCTTACGTCGTGCAACCTACATACGCATGCAATCCCTCACGCTTTGCTACATCTTCTCCTAACATCCATGCCGTAATTTGAAATTTGTCCAGTCATGCACCTATTCTTATTATGCACATTACACCGTACCCTGACACAGGCGAGACTACCCGCCGGCGGCACAACCTGAACCGCACAGAACGACGCTTGCTGAAAGGCCCACACGGTAAGCATATTCTCGTTCCTGCTCGTATGTCCCGTTTGATCTTCATCCCCGCGACAAAATACCCAATGATCTCCGCTACGCTCACGCATCTCCCTACTCTTGTAAATTAATGTACCGCATATGTATATATTACCACGCACGTACACGTCTTGTACCGCAATCCTGCTGCATGACCCTTAGACGCATTGTCTTATGACATTTACGCATTGTCCTACGACATGTACGTATTGTACTATGGCATGGACGCTTTTGTTTGCGTCACACCATGTCGTACTGTACGACAAGGTGAAATGCCCTACACATTGTTCCTACGCATCATCGCCCTACGCATTGTTATTCAACGTACTCTTCCATAACGCATTCTTACCCTACGCATTACTGCCCTACGCACTGTTGCCCTACGGATTGTTGCCCAGCGCATTCTTCTGATGGTTGTGGCATGCTGTACAGATGTACGGTAATGTACGGACAGTGTTAGACGCATCGTGTTAGACGCATTGTCAGTACAGTTTGCTGCCAATCCACATTTATGAAAACCATCTCTTCCGTTGTATCATCAGCTGCCTTTCATCACGCTAATGGCCGCAATTATCGCCGCCGTTTGAACTTGCTGTAGAGACCAACTGGAAGCAACCGTCCCTCTGCTGCACCTCACGCAGCCGCTTCTCAACAACATAATAACGTCTGCTCGTGAGGCAATCGTCGAGAACGACGCACGGCAGGCCACCATCTTCGACGCTCGGTCTCGCAAGGAGTGGAGCGCATTGTGCGCCGCCCGCAGACGGCCATTGCCGCCTGTCCTTGCGACCGTGCGATACAACGGTCGCCAGCTTCCTGATGTCCTCTTACCGATGAACGCCCTGGGCGTTGCGCTATCCATGACAACATCCGCCGGCAGACGCGTTTGCTGGTCCCAGGACGAGATAGCGGGTTGGAGCCCTGGCGGTGCGCACGTTGACGCCTGGCTAGGCGGCTGCTTGGAGCCGGGTATGATTCTCGAAACGCTGTGCTTCCCCAGCTCCTCGCCGACCATGCCGTTGAGCCTCGGCTGGACTGGAACTGCTTATGGACCAGCGCCAAGCCGCCCGACACGTCGCAACTACAACTCACTGACACGCCACCGCCGCCTGGCTGGAACGGTCGAGGCTATCCGTCCGAGGCACCCGGTGCTTGGTATCCGTAGAGTTACAAGTGCCACTCGATTGTCTCGCATAATTTGGCACGTCGCTTTGGTTGGTTCACGTGATTGGTTGGTGCACGTTGGTATGCCGTCGGGGATATGCCGTATGGAGGTAGGCGCGAAAAGGGTAGAGAAGAAAAATGCTAGGAGAGAGAACAACGGACGCAGGAGGAGTGGAGACAAATAGAAGAGGGCCGGGAAATAAGGAAAGGAAACACCTGCAAATGGAAGAGCATGGTTTGGGAGGGGGGGCTACAAGTTGGTTCATGCTATTCAGGGCGAGCAGGGTGTCATACCCATGCCGTAAAATATGGAAGACTGAACGCCTCTTGGCAACATGCCGTTTTCGAAAGGCCTCTTGGCAACAAATAGTGAACGGCAGCGTATACTGTACGGATGTGTGTCATGTTTTTTTGAGATGGCGCCTGACATGCATGAATGATGCTTTGAACGGTTAACCGCCTGCATTTCTACGCCATCCGGTCCAATGCATACGCTATCTGCACATTTCTTATATAGTAACCATCGAACTGCGAGTGGCTCATTTGATCGATTATGGTTCAGTTGACAATACTGCGCGAGGGAGGTGAAGAGGGCCGTCCAAAACCGCGCCCTAACCCATGCCGTACAGTACACCCATGTGAGACGATGCTACTCAGATGCCGCCAGAGCGATCTTAGCGATCGTTCGAATAACGAAGGAGCGGCACGGGGCATGGGGAACTTGAAGGGAGGTGGGAGCCCATTCATTTGGTCAGTCGCAACAGCGTAGTGTCCGAGGCTCATTGTTCTCATGTCGGACGCCTTGGCTTCAGTTTGCACTGCCGGTGCATATTGCTTGTCACTGCAATTAACACAACGGGTAACAACATACCACTTACAGCATAACCAACACCATTACACGGTACTAACAATCAAAAATTCATACTTTCGCTATACTTCTACATTGTCTGCGATGCACTGCGCTTTATTTAACGCCATGGATTGTCTGCGATGCACTGCGCTTTATATACCCGCGTAGGTAATTCCAACTCAGTACTTCGTCCCTTCACACATTACTCTTCATTTCTTCCATGTTCTATGTAGTTTGACGACGTGTATTCACCGTTAACTTTCTGTGACAAGCATTGCAGCTCGCGCTATTCGCGCGCTTATCCTTCCGAAGCCAACTCATCCCGACAGCATGCCGAGACCATCACATGACAACATGTACGACACCCAGTCATGTCGGTACCTTACTTCCTATAAATATCACCACCGCTTTAATTGTTTACTAGCATTCTATTTTTCCAGCCGCTTCACACTACCATGATACCGCCACGTCATTAAACCTTGCTCATTGTCTGGTTCGTATCGTTACTGCCCGCAATGTCGCCCAAGACGCCACCTGTTGGCAAAAGGTAAATTACAAGATTGCCGCGCAAAAGGACGCCGAGGAGGCTCGCCGCGCGTCTTGCCACACACCTATCAGTTTAGTCTAATGTAGCCGTTTTCTCAACCATTGCTAGCGGTCTTGTCATGCCATTCCATATTGCTTCCTCGTTGCTGGCTGTCTTATTGCTACGGTGGTGATGCCTACAATTGCTACACATAACTTCTGCTCTTAGATTAATGATTAAATATTCGCCCCGTGCCCTCATGCCCTACATTCGCAGACCGCTAGACACCGCCGCCGATACCAATACTCCGTCAAGCGGCAAGCGCCCTGCCAACACTGACTCCACCAGGTTCGCACTGCACTTATTAACCCGATGGCGTAAACCGCTTGCTTGCGTTCCAATATCATACAATTTCGCTTTACGCAATAGCCTTCAGTTTCGCTATATTTTCCAGCAAACGGGACCCAAGGGTCACTGCCTGCTCCCGTATTTTCCGCTCCCATCCCGCAATCAGCTGTTTACACACAAACCAATACCGCCAATTTACGCCATTTCACGCTGACTATATGCTACATTTACCAGCATGGCTTTGTACTTATAGCCCTTTCGACCGACGACAGACCCACGGGTCATATTCACAGCTTACCAATAACATTGGCGCCGCGCATGCTTACCTAAATCCCATTTCCGTTAAGACGCTACTCACTTCTCTCCCTCACATTTCCTTTTCGCAGAATATCCGCTGCATCCAGCAGTGCCTCAGGCTGCTCTCCTGCTCAACCAACGGCTCTGGAATTCCAGGCAACTGCCATGTTTGGACCGCAGCCCAGCCCATTCGAGAATGGTGTACGCGACAACATCAGCGTCCTCATGGGCCCCATCGTTCCGAAGGACGACGAAGGCGAGATCGCTCTCAAGGTCGCCGTTGTGCTAATTAGCGACCCCTACCTCAACCGCCTCGTCAACGCGCTGGGCAACATCGTCACCATTAACCCTGTCGTCGGCGGCCCTGTGCAGTCCAACAAGGTCCTGGGACGCCTCGCCCAAGTGTCGTCAACGCAGTTCCATATCGGCGACGCCGCCCAAGTGACGGTGAGGAACGTATAAACCCAATCTCAGACGCATTACACATACCTTTCCATGATCGGAACCATGCAAACTTATCAACTTTATCAACAATACCGTTACGTATCCCGCAACATACCGTCATGTTGTATACCCAGCATAATGCTGTGATCCCAAATGCACCATACCGTGGTCATAGCGCCGCGAGTAGTGATGGCTCTTACCTAACAAACCGCTTAATTGTAGCGCTTACATCTAATAGCACTTACGTATCACAGCCTTTGCGTATCAACATACCTTACCACATACCCCCGCTCACATACACGTGTTACCCCCCCTACGTACCCTATGCCTTCGCAGATATCACCCCACACGCGCTTCATTCCGCTGACAACTCACCGCTTCCGCACACTTGGCGCTAACCCTGCCACCGACTCCGGCAACACTTCCAACGAGGCGCCCATGTTAGTGTATCCGTACGGCGCCCTGACGGAATACTCCGGACGCGACGAGCGGTTCAAGAAGCTGGACGCCATGGTAGCCACCGGAGATCCCAACGACCCCAACCCCGTAAAGATGGCCATTAAGTCACGGGCGTCTGCTCTCACTCCCTCCATGGCCCGCCTACTGGACCACGCTGCGGCGACGGGACAGGCGCTGTACATCAACGGCTACTTTGACCGCAAGAACGAGGCCTTCGACGGTAAGTTATCGACAAAAAAGATACCATACGTTGCCCGTGCCATGCACATCGTATTGGATGCGTGCAATGCATCATATGGTAATACGTAACGACATAACCGTCTACCCATGTTATGTACGGTATCACACAAGCGCAACAATTGATGTTTCACATTACGCTACAACGCTTAACCTCAACATTCACACCGTCTGCGTACCAATTTGGCCCAATCCCGCACCCCCATGACCGCAATGCTTATCGTTTTGCTTCACGACCAACACCTTACCTCGTAGGCACTGTCTGGACCAACTCCTCCTTCATCTTCGGTGCCCACCCTACCCGCGCTGTTCGCAAGTTCATCCTGAAGGCCATCGCCAAGATCAACGGCGGCGCCGACGCAAGCGGTGTCAACTGGATGAACCGACTGGCACAGGAGTGGGAAGGTGACGCGGAGAGCACTCGGCCGCAGGTGGGTCGCTCCTTGCCTTATTGTACGCATTATACGTACCATACTACGCCTTCTTGCCCTACGCATTGTTATCCTACGCATTATTACCCTACGTATTCTGATTATACGCATTGTTGCCATACGCATTGTATCTATACGCATTCTCGCCATACGCATTGTAATCATACGCATCGTTATCCACTGTATTCTTCCCTTACGCTTTGTTACCCTACGCATTACTGCCCTACGCATCGCTGCTGTTCGCATTGTTACCCAACGCATTTTATTTTACACTTTTTTGCCCACCGCATTGCTGCCCTACGCATTGTTGCCCTACGCATCCTTGCCCTACGCATTGTTGCCCTACGTATTGTTCCTACGCATCATCGCTCTACGCATTGTTATCCAACGTATTCTTCCATAACGCATTGTTGCTCTACGCATTACTGCCGTGGTACTGCCCATGTCGTACTGCAGTACTTTATGTATCGTCATACGTCCTGTAAACACTACTCTGCGCCCACTCTTTCCCCAGGACGGACTCATTCGCAAGGCCGTTCTCCAGCCGCTCCAGGTCAAGCCGTCCCTGACCGGCCACACCGAGCACGTTCTGCCGATGGCCCTCACGCACGACGACCACCACTACGCCGTGTACGCCAACACCCTCGACGTCGTTCAGCACGTACCCGGATACCTGGAGGAGTTCGGCACGGTCGAGATTGCCACCGTCAACCTGCCCAACATCATCAACTTCCTCCAGGAGCCCTTCGAGATGCACGCCGACGTCGAGGTGCTGACAACCAAACGATTCACCCGCATCACCCGCTTGGTACCCCGCGCCTGAAATGACACGCCACCCGTGCAGTGTCATGCGTTTGGGTATCACACCTTTGGTCTTGCGTAATTGAAGTACAGGTTCACTGTACGCACTTAGAAGTTTATGGCCATACGCACTGTGCCATTCGTATTTGGCCGTGAATGCTGATGAAGGGTCCGGTGTCTTCGTACCGTCGCGTCTGTTCGTGTACGTACTACGATGAGGACTATTACTCCGCATACCACGCTATACGAACAGAGCCATGCGCAATGTGCCAGTTGTACTCTGCCATTCCGTCTAGTATTGCGCTTGTTGGCGTCAAAGTCTTCTATGCATTCCGGTTATGCGTACATACATTGGTACACGATCTGTGCCATACGAACAGTGTCACACACGCTGCGGAGTCGTCCTACTGGGCTTGGTCGTAGTTGTATGTCAACAACGCCATATGTTCCACGTATGGTGTGCCAGTTGTACTATGCCATTCGTGTAGTTATGCGTTTACGTGCTATGCACTTCCAAAACCTTATCGCACACGTTTCATGTCCTGAACAGTTAATTTCACTTGTTGTCGACCAATAACACTAGGATGTCCACGGTTGCTGGAGCTATGACGGTTGCCGGAGCAAACACGTCCACCAATGACACGGTCATAACCACACGGTCGTATCCCTTACAATACTGTTAACGACCAATACGTTCGCTATACGCCAACTTCCAATACGTACGCCAACGAGCCAATCTCATCATATGAACGACAAACATGCCACGTAAACACGCTGAGGCATGTTTATGGTACAGTACGGTCAGCATCGCTTCGACCATCGCGTATCGCATTATCGCCCTACATCGTTGCCCTACGCATTGTCACCCTACGCACTGTCCCTACGCATTGTTGCCCTGCGCATTGTCGCCCTGCGCATTGTTGCCTTACGCGTTGATACCTGTTCACCTACGCATTCTCGCCTAACGCATTGTCCCTACGCATTGTTGCCTTACACATTGTCGCCTTACGCATTGTTGCCCTACGCATTGTTTCCCTGCGCATTATTGCCCTATCCATTGTTGCCTTACGCATTATCGCCCTACGCAATCTTTTCTTACGCATTGTTGCCCTACGCATTATCGCATTACGCATCGTCCCTACGCTTTCTTACCCTACACATTGTCGCCCTACGCATTGTCACCCTACGCATTGTTGCCTTACGCATTGTCGTCCTACGCATTCTTTCCTTACGCATTGTTCCCCTACGCATTGTCTCCCTGCGCATTGTTGCCATACGCATTGTTGCCTTACGCATTGTCACCCTACGCATTCTTTCCCTACGCGTTGTTGCCCTACGCATTGTCACCCTACGTATTGTTGCCCTACGCATTGTCACCCTACGTATTGTTGCCCTACGCATTGTTGCCTTACGCATTGTCGTCCTACGCATTCTTTCCCTACGCATTGTTCCCCTACGCATCGTCTCCCTGCGCATTGTTGCCATACGCATTGTTGCCTTACGCATTGTCACTCTACGCATCCTTTCCCTACGCGTTGTTGCCCTACGCATTGTCACCCTACGTATTGTTGCCCTACGCATTGTCACCCTACGTATTGTTGCCCTACGCATTGTTGCCTTACGCATTGTTCTTACGCCTTGTTCTTACGCATTGTTCGTTCCTACGCATTGTCACCCTACGCATTGTTACACCTTCTCATCCTACGCATTGTCGCCCTACACATTGTCGCCCTACGCATTGTCGCCCTACGCATTGTTTCCCTACGCATTATTCCTACGCATCGCTGCCCTACGCATTGTTATCCAACGGATTCTTCCCTTACGCATTGTTACCCTACGCATTACTGCTATACGCATTGTCGCCCAACGGATTATCGCCCAATGCATTATTATTTTACACTTTGTTGCCCACCGCATTGTTACCCTACGCATTGTTATCCAACGTATTCTTCCCTTACGCACTGTTACCCTACGCATTACTGCTATACGCATTGTTGCCCAACAGATTATCGCCCAACGCATTATTATTTTACACTTCGTTGCCCACCGCATTGTTACCCTACGCATTGTACTACGCACTGTATTGCGCACCCCCCTGTGTGTCGTCCTACGTATCGTAAACACTGTTTTGCATATAAATATGTTACATAATAAACATACTTTCCCTACGCATTGTTCCCCTACGCATTGTCGCCTAACGCATCGTCCCTACGTATATACGCATTGTTGCCCTACTCGTTGTACATATATACGCCAACTGGAACCATAACGACTACGGGGCACCAAGGGATTTACGGTACCCCCGGCCGCGGCAACGACGCGGCACTATCTGTCTGTGTGTCCGCGAAAGTGGTGGCAAGGTCCTTGGGGCGCTAAGCGTTCAGTCCTGTGCCCAGCCAGCCAGAGGTCTCCGGTTCGAGCCAGGTAGCGACCTCTTGGCGACTTCCTGGGCACCCTTGGAGATGATGCCTGGGCCTGTGGGGATGGTGTTCTGAGAGATCTCGAGTACGACAACACACTGTACGGCAGCATACTGTACGGCTATTGTGCCGTACTGTGTGGCAAGACGTCATGTGGTGTACGACATGTACGGCAGTGTACGACAACTGTCGTACGGCGGCCGTCGTACACTTGTACGGCATCTGTACGGCATGTGTTTTGACACGACCTCCCACCCCCCTCCTCCCCCCCTTCTCCCCTCGTCGCCTATACGTCACCCCAGCCCTCCTTGTGATTCCTGGCACCATCCCCCCCTCGCCACAACAACTGGCAGTACAGTACGGCTTGGGTTTCGACACGCTCTCCCACCCCCCTCCTCCCCCTCTTCTCCCCTCGTCGCCTACACGTCACCCCAGCCCTTCTTGTGATTCCTGGCACCATCCCCCCCTGGCCACAACAACTGGCAGTACAGTACGGCTTGGGTTTCGACACGGCCTCCCACCCCCCTCCTTCCCCTCTTCTCCCCTCGTCACCTACACGTCATCCCAACCCTCCTTGTGACTCCTGGCACCATCTCCCCCCTCACCACGACAACTGGCGGTACAGTACGGGTTGGGTTATGACCTGCCATAGTACGATACGTACATATCGTAGGACAATGCGTAAATGTCATAAGACAATGCGTCTAACACGATGCGTCTAACACTGTCCGTACATTACCGTACATCTGTACAGCATGCCACAACCATCACAAGAATGCGCTGGGCATTAATCCGTAGGGCAACAGTGCGTAGGGCAGTAATGCGTAGGGTAAGAATGCGTTATAGAAGAATACGTTGAATAACAATGCGTAGGGCGACGATGCGTAGGAACAATGCGTAGGGCATTTCACCTTGTCGTACAGTACGGCATGGTGTGACGCAAACAAAAGCGTCCATGCCATAGTACAATACGTACATGTCGTAGGACAATGCGTAAATGTCATAAGACAATGCGTCTAACACGATGCGTAAATGACAGTGTGTAAACGACATCGTGTAAACGTCAGTGTGTAAACGCCATAGGACAATACGTACACGCCATAGGACAATGCGTAAGCGCCATAGGACAATGCGCACATGCCATATGACGGGGGGACCGTTTTGGTCGCTATGTCGGCTGCGCTACACGGCTATGTCGTTACGTATTGCGTATTGTGTGTAGACGATGCATCGTTGCGATGCGTATACGGCCAGGCGCAGGCAGTGTGTGAGCGGCGGAGTGGTTGTGCCGTATTGGTACCTAGTGTTTGGCGTAGCCGGCCAGGCACGGCTTGAGCTGGAGCGGCTGGAGAACGGCGTCGCAAACGAGTCCGTCCTGGGGAGAGAGAGAGTGGGCGCAAAACAGTGTTTACAATACGTAGGACGACACACAGGGGGGTGCGCAATACAATGCGTACTACAATGCGTACTACAATGCGTAGGGTAACAATGCGGTGGGCAACGAAGTGTAAAATAATAATGCGTTGGGCGATAATCTGTTGGGCAACAATGCGTATAGCAGTAATGCGTAGGGTAACAATGAGTAAGGGAAGAATACGTTGGATAACAATGCGTAGGGTAACAATGCGGTGGGCAACAAAGTGTAAAATAATAATGCGTTGGGCGATAATCCGTTGGGCGACAATGCGTATAGCAGTAATGCGTAGGGTAACAATGCGTAAGGGAAGAATACGTTGGATAACAATGCGTAGGGCAGCGATGCGTAGGAATAATGCGTAGGGAAACAATGCGTAGGGCGACAATGCGTAGGGCGACAATGCGTAGGACGAGAAGGTGTAACAATGCGTAGGGTGACAATGCGTAGGAACGAACAATGCGTAAGAACAACGCGTAAGAACAATGCGTAAGAACAATGCGTAGGAAAACAATGCGTTTTTGGGTAGCAATGCGTTATTGAAGAATATGTTGGATAACAATGCGTAGGGCAACAATGCGTAGGGCGAGAAGGCGTAACAATGCGTAGTGCAACAATGTGTAGGCCGAGAAGGCGTAGGGCGACGATGCATTTGGGCAACGATGCGTAGGGCGACCATGCGTAGGGCCAACAATGCATCTGAACAATGCGTAGGAAAACAACACGTTTTTGGGTAACCGTGCGTTATGGAACAACACGTTGCATGACAATGCGTAGGGCGACAATGCGTAAGAACAATGCGTAGAGAAACAATGCGTAGGGTGACGATGCGTGGGGTAACAATGCGTAGGGCGACAAGGTGCAACAAGGCGTAGGGCAATAATGCGTACGCCGAGAAGGCGCAGGGCGACAATGCGTCGGGGATCGATGCGTGGGGCGACAATGCGTAGGGGCAACAATGCGTATGAACAATGCGTAGGAAGACAATGCGTTTTTGTAGGAAAACAGCACCCTAGAAAGCGTAGGGCGACAATGCGTAGAGCAACGATGCGTAGGAACAATGCGTAGGAAAACAATGCGTAGGGCAACAATGCGTAAGACAACAATGTGTAGGGTAACAATGCGTAGGGCAACATTGCGTAGGCCGATAAGGCGTGGGGCGACAATGTGTAGGGTAACGATGTGTAGGGCGATAATGTGTACGGCAACGGTACAATGTACAACGCGTATACGACCAGACGGGTGAACTATACAATGCGTGTACGGCTAGGCGGTGGAAGGACGCTGATCTTTAAGCCAGTATCACGTATGGTATCTTCTTTGCGTAAACGGACAAGGACCGTTTAACGACTGCAGAATGTTATTTTAGCAACAGCGAAACTACCTTGAGACGACCTCTGAATGACGGCAAAATAACCAGTGTTCGATTAACCATATGCCGATCAACGTACACGAAACGCCCCATGCTCTCGACCGTTAACAGCTAGCTCGTAAACAACTGCATTAACCAATTGACAAGCGACATATACAAGATGCGCCTTCCGTTTGTCACACGGTCAACAGCCGTGTTTTGACTGACCAACTGCAAAGACCCCAATGATCCGGCAGGTACTGACACATCGAACTCAACGGTGTACAAATCCGTGCAGAACAATTGCAACCATGCGGCAACGGCTGCAACCAGCAAACAAGAAACTGTCCGTATTAGGTGCCACCTACGTATCCATCTCCGACCGCACATTGCGTCATCACTTAGCATTCATTGGCAATTTTCAGCCTTTTTGTGGCTATTTCCACCTCTCTTCTAGTTCCCTCCATTCCTC